AATGGCACCAAAAAGTATGCAAAGCTTTATAGAATCCTAAATCAGATAGAAGAAACAAATACAATTAAAAAACCGTTTTGTACCCGTTACTCTTATAGTAAATGGGTATATTGTACTCGAGGAAATAATAGGCATCTTTTTAAGGCTTATTGTACAAATTAGGTCATGTCATAAATATTAGGTAATTTCACAAAATTGTATGTGTTGGCTGAAATTAGTAATATAATTTATGGCTTTTCTAAAAATAAAAAAATGTAGACTTTTTTCTACTTTTAAAGTAAATAGTAGACTACGTATACAAATTCTGATATAAGCATTTGTAACGAAAAATAAATGAATTAAATGTCTAACATCTATTCATTTCGTTCGCTACAACATAAACAAGGAAGAACGCGATAGTCGAGTATCTCGACTATCAGATACCCGTTACTCAGCTAAAGGAACAAAAGGGAAATAGAGGTATTCAAGCAGCAAAGCGAGGTTGAAATGCGCCACCTACCGGTGGTAGACAGATTTAAGCGTTATGCGCGTTAGAATGAACGTGGTAAATTTTTTTTAATCAATCGATAGGTATTGACGAGACCAATACATTTCAGTTAAAATTTTGTATCTAGCATGAAAATTGTGCGCACAGGTTTGGGGGCGTTAGAGTGGGCGTGGCACTCTGCTGAAACAAACTTGCGCTGCGTAAGAAGCTCAGGAATCTGCACGCCAAATCTCAATAGCCTAGCTCTTATAGTTTCCAAGATCTCAACGTTCATCCGGACAGACAGACGGACAGACGGACATGGCTAGATCGACTCGGATAGTGATCATGATCAAGAATATATATACTTTATGGGGTCGTAAACGCTTCCTTCTGCCTGTTACATACCTTCCGACGAATCTAGTATACCCTTTTACTCTACGAATAACGGGTATAATGAATAATAATACAGCTACCAGGTTCTCCTGAAGCAGCCGACTTATTAAAGGTCTTAGTACCAAAAACTGAAGAAACCCACAACACCTTTGGATTGGAGTATAGTTTAGTCGTACTTGCATCAGTTGCTGTTCCATGGTGCTGGGTTGCGGTTCATTCGAGTGCAAAGCCGAAAAACTTGTTGTCTGCCGGCAGATGGACACCAGACAAGGAGAAATCTGGCTCCTGTCGCTTCGCCGGCTGTGAGTCACCTAACAACTGCACAATGATGTTCTTGTCCCCGCTCAGCCCGTCCAGCATATCGGGTTAACAGTTTTCGTTTAGGCTCATGCGCTGCACATTGACCACAGAACCAGAAACGAACAGACCACTTCACATCTCGCATTTGTCATTCGCTCTTTGGGCTCCCACTTTCTGTGCCATATTTCACCAAATATTTTTGTCTGCACATCATTGGAAGGTTTGGAGGAGTCATTCTAATACCCAAGTTAGTCAAGGGTAGTCACTCAAAGTTTTGCCGTCAATGTACCAAGGACGAGTGTCACTCTTCAGTCCTCTCGTGTTCATCTGCCATTGTTTTGAGTGCTTTTATCATAGTTCTTGAGTGCTACATTATTGTTGGAAATTTATCTGTAATAACGTCACCCTAATTTACTTTATTTATGTTCTCTTCTGCTCCGATAACACGGGTTTAAAAACGCTTCGACATTTTGCATCGTCATTTTTCATTCTTGATTTATACTCAACAAATTTTTTATATCCCCACCTCCAACAAATTCTGGATCCGCCATTGTTAGGTTGTAAATTTACATTTTTTCACGAAATCTCTGCCCAAGTCCCCTCCAATATGTGAAAACACATTTTAAAACAAGAAAGAACGCTATAGTCGAGTATCTCGACTATCAGATACCCGTTACTCAGCTAAAGGGACCAAAGGGAAATGGAGATATGCAAGCAGCAAAGCGAGATTAAAATGCGCCACCTAACCGGCGGTAGACAGATTTAAGCGTTATGGGCGTTAGAGAGGGCGCGGCATATTTTTTTGAATCAATTGATAGGTATTGACGAGACCAATACATTTCAGTTAAAATTTTGTATCTAGCATGAAAATTGTGGGCGTAACAGGATAGGCGGTTTGTGGGCGTGGCAAACTTTTTTTTTGGGTCAACCGATAAGTATTGATGAGAACAATACATTTCAGCTCAAATTTTTATTCTAGCATCAAAACTGTACGAGCCACAGTCTTGGGCGGTTTGTGGGCGTTAGAGTGGGCGTGGCACATTGCTGAAACAAACTTGCTCTGCGTAAGAAGCTCAGGAATCTGCACGCCAAATCTCAAATCTCTTATAGTTTCCGAGATCTCAGCGTTCATCCGGACAGACGGACAGACGGACATGGCTAGATCGACTCGGCTAGTGATCCTGATCAAGAATATATATACTTTATGGGGTCGTAAACGCTTCCTTCTGCCTGTTACATACCTTCCGACGAATCTAGTATACCCTTTTACTCTACGAGTAACGGGTATAATAACCGTCAATATGATTCGAAACAGTTTGACCCTAAAATATTCATGTATTCAAGTTAACAACTTAAAAATTATTATTTATAATATGCTACAAAATATAAATGTTATTAGTTATATAATAACATAAAATGTCAACTAATGGTATACAGACCAAAAAATCGACGGGTAGCAAGGTGTAAAATTGGAAATTAAGTTCACTAATTTTTTGGACGACAAAGAAGATATGCAAACCACTTGTTTTGATCTTTAATTATTTTTGGAGGAGTATTGATAAAATTTTTAAACGTAATCGAAAGGATATTTCTTCTCACATTTATTTCAACTTTCAATAGTAATATTAACTATTTGCACAAAGACATGTTCAGATGGAGATATGCAAGCAACAAAGCCTGTAACCAAGGTTGTACACTTTTTTATAACTTTTTTAATGAGTGGTTTGATTTGAACATGAATAAAAAATCTACATGTTAAATCCATACTTTCTAGCTTTTATGGTTTCTGGGATCTCAGCGCCCATAGATCGACTTGGAAAGTGATCATGATCAAGAATATATATACATATTTGGTTTAAAAGCCTTCCTTCTACATTACATACTTTCCGACGAGTCTAGTATACCCTTTTACTGTACTAGGACCCCACAAATGTGTAAAATAAGATGGATAAATCGAGATAGGCACCCGAAAAGCGCTATTCAGCATCACTCTTATTGTGACTTTTGATTGCTGCTTTCGCTACGGAGATGCCATGCAAAGACACAATCAACGATTTATCATGAGCTTGATTACGCAAGAGCAGACGCATTGTATACAAATATATATTATAATATATATATATATATTATATATATAATATATATGTATAAATATATGTATATAATAACGATATATAGGGATGTGTGCCCTCGAAACAGTTGCATGCATAAAATAAAATGCCAGTATTATACTGGACATACAACAATGGATCCCGTTTTGGCTGCCATTTTTCAAATGTCGGACATTGATTTGCAATTATGACACAAAATGACGGACGGGTACCGTTAGTAACACACTAATGGATTGTTGCCGGTCTTTCTGTGTTCAAGAAAGGTTATAACTATATTGGCATAAATTGCTACATAAAAATGGCCTGCGATTACATACATACAATGTAGAGTGCCGAGCAATGTTTGAAAAGGCCCCTTAACACAATTGAACATTAACAGGGTTTGCTTTGATTTATGAATTACACTGGTGGTCTGACTTCAATTGAGTGGGTGGAATACAAATTAATAGATAAATATTTTATAATCGAATTTCGTTCGTGATTTGCATACTTGGTATGTCCTTAAGCAGATGCCAAGACATTTAAGCCATCGCCCGTCGAGCCTTGGCCTGAAATTATTAACTGCACTTTGTCGGAGGGCCCGTCGAACTATTTTCCATTAAATTTAATTTACTGCCAAGGCACCTCACCTCTGGAGTCCTGACAGGACCTCGTCGAGAGCCTCTGTCAAGGCGTCTGCCAGAACCACCGCACGACATCCAAGTCCATGCACAGTAAATTAATTAACTTTATTGTCTGGGGCCGTCCGGTTGGTAATTTGATTAAACAGCTCTAACAGCATTCCCAATATACATACACACATGGCACATATATTCAGAACGTTATAGATGGCTTTATCAGTTTGATAAGAGCATTTATAATTTTTGGTTGCATTTTTGAATAGAAGCATTAAAACTTACCCGTTTCAATTTGATAGACTTAAGCTAATGGAGTCTGTACAGGACGACTCAGGGGATGTCAAATTAATTGTTTTTGACAAAGATTATTTCGAGTTGCTTTTCTTAAGTTTTTAAGTATGCTATAAATGCTTGCTTTCAGTTTCAAGCTATGTTTTCTGTTGGCAAGAGCATTATAATCAAATGGTAGCAACTGCGATTTTCTAATCATAAAACCTTCTTTTTTCAGTTTCTAAAACGAAAACTATTATAACTTGTATGCACATGTGCTTTTGACATACTCGTACATACTGCAGAAAGCGTTCACAGTAATACAAAGGAACTGGGGTAAAGAAAAAATTCGATAAATTAAGCGCAACCAAAAGGTTGTAAAACAATGCTTTTACATTTTTGCTGGGCTTTGCGTATATATATATATATCAATACATAGGTGCATAGATGGAGAAATGTACTGTGTTTAAGTTGGTTCTGAGTAGTGCAATTCATAACTGAAAATTTTTTATCAGAATCAGAAATGTGAGTCAATATACAAGAAAAAAAGAGAGTTTCCCGCTATACAAGTTATGAATAATATTTAATTATGGCCTTCAGGGACCTTTACAAAGTGCGATAAAAACTGATGTATGACGCAGGCGAGTACCGCTATTCTCTACGTAAAATAATAAGTCGTGCGGTTCTGTAGAATTCATCGCATTTATTTCCGCATGAGGTTGATAAGAAAGTAGATGAAAAGGATTCTCAAGAGAATTTATGTGGCAAAACACATTCCTACGGAATGGTATATATTACTTATTCAATTTATAGTCCCCTCAGTTCAATTTTGGTCGGCGACTAAAAAAGTTCAGTATGAAAGTCCTCAACATCAACATCTTGAAACTTATTATAGCTGTCATTCTGTATTGTGTTCTGTTCGTCGAAGAACAAGAGATAGGCGAAAATGCAACATGGTGAATATCATAAAAGCAATCAAACAGTGTAGCACGTTTTACAATCGACTTATTTCAACATAAACTAGAAGTAAATTATAAAAAAAATCTAGGGGTGATCTTACTAACTTAATAAGTAATAATTCTCGATCGATTTTGGATATAATGCCAATGATTTTGTTACCGCAAGTTCTGTTAAATACTTCTTCTGTGCAAGTTATAAAAATATACATTTTCAGTGCGCTAACTTTTGTCTTTATTGTTTTCTTATTTCTAGTACACCTTTTACCCGCAAAATCCCAAATGTAGCTCAACTGGAAACTGAAACGCATTATATTTACTGAATTTAGAAACATACGTGTTCACATTCACGTATTGTAATCTTCGCTTCAAAACGTATAACACAAAATAAAACATGCTCGTCTTAACCTAATTTAAAAGGCCACGCAAAAATACAATTTTTTTAATGGGCTTGTGGACTAAGGGATCGCAATCCTTGATACAATTCCTTTTGTAGAAAAGCTGAGAAAACAGCTGGAGGAAACACCAACAACGATTGAAAATTCTTAAAATTGTGTTTCGCTTTTTATATGTTAATTTAAAGTTTTAATTAAAATATAAATGCATAAAGATATATATTTGTGAATTTTTTGATTGACACTAGCATGCAAGGGGAATTATAAGAAGAATAAGAATTATAAAAATAAGTTATAAATCTGAACTCGAGAAAAAAATGAATTTTTGTAAACTAGTGTTATTAATCATTTTTATTTTAAAAATCATTGATAATTGTTATAAAAGACTTTTAAAATAAAAACCAAAATCAACTGTTGGTGGAGACATTCAAAATTAAAATTTATAATAATAGTTATTGAAACTTTTATAATAAAAGTAAAATTATTTGCTTCTCTTTAAAATATTTTTTATTGGATCAATCTATCCCGTCTGACAAATGCAAATCAAATTTAATTCGAGGAATCGTCGTAAGAAAAACCTGTTTACAAACATTCAGCACGAGTAGTGACGTATCTTTATATCCAAACGCCGTCAATCAAACGCGATTAGCAAAAACGAGTTCTACATTTCTTCAGAAGAGGCATACAGCCACGTTAAAGTGCAATTAGGTGCAGCTAATTAAACCTGAAATCAAGGAGACATAGAACCGAGACGGTGGGAATTTCACGTTCATCTCAGGGCAATACCACACGTTAAATCAGTAATACGGTTTTGCCCGATTCGCAAAAACAAAAACACTGATAACAAACGATCGAGGCAGATTGGAAAAGTATAAAAGCACGGACGGACGTTCTGTAGAGTCATCAGTTGAATTGGCCTTTGGTTGTAGCTACTTCAAAGATGAAATTCCTTTCGGCTGCCTTCCTTCTCGGCCTTTTGGCTCTGACCAACGGTAAGTATGGCCTTTATTAAGTGGGTTATATTAAGCTAATAATAATAATAACTATCCCATTAGCCACCCCTCTGAACCCGGGTAATGTCATTATCAATGGAGATTGTCGTGTCTGCAATGTGCATGGCGGAAAATGAGACGGAAATCCATTACCGGAACGCTCTTCGGCTGCTAAGATGGACATATAAAAAGATCAATAAATAATTTCTTATCAATTTTTGATTGGACTTCTAGAAATACTGAATTCCTACGCTCATCTGTTTAACTGTTGTAATACAAATTTCGATTAAGTCTCTGACCTAATCCCGTATTCGTATACACTCAAATGAACATCTGTCGTCGGAACATTAACATATAATTTCATAAATGCCTGCAACTGTTTGGCGTTATTTCATTATTATTCACGGTCCAAACGGATTGCTGATTGGCTGGGAATGCGGGCCTGCGAATTCAGTTCATTGATTTGTTGTAAAATTTTTGCATAATTTCATTCATTTGCTGTTGCCGCATTGTTGGGTGCTTTATTGTCTGGATTAAGGAACATAATGTTCATTATATATGCACATTACTATTATGTTAATGCGCCTGTGACACATCACCCCAACTTCAATGTTTATCGGTGCAGATTTTTCCATTTTCCGTCTGCTATATGCATTGATTTGTTAGCATTTTCCCATAACTGAAAACATGGTGCTTTTTAAAGCCTTCGTTTACATTTAATCAATACGGCATTCTCATTAAAGACTTTGCGTACTGGATAATTTTATCTGTTTTAATTTCTTCGTCGACGTAAATTGCAATAAATAAAAATAAAATTAAGTTAATTGCCATATTTCTAACAAACTTAAAGTTTTTTATTCCGACGGTTAATAATCCAATATTAGGTCAAAACAATTGAGTGTACGTAGATTAAATATGCGGTTTCTTTAAGTAAATTTTCATAGTACGAGTCATAAATGCCAATTTAAGATATGTCGGAATGAAATTGGTCATAGTTTTATTTAAACACGAGTTCTTCAAAAGTCCATTAAGCTAAGCTTAAATTAAAATATTAGTAATGAGAATTTCTTCAGTTTTCTTCTTTTTTAAAAATTGTTGAATTTATCAATCACTTTAATTGATTCACCCTGTAATCTAGAAAACACATACATACATAGATCTCCCAGCAGCGCCAATAATCAAAATGCATTTTTTGGTCTCCCTTTTTTTTAGCAAGCAAATAGAATTTTTTACTTTTGCCACAGAGTCCCAAAGGAAGCCGTGATGATGGGGGGAATCATCATCAGTCAACATGAGCTAGAGGACGTAAAAATTTCGGAGCCCAAAGAAGACCAATGCGCATAATTTAACTGAAGAGCTGTCATGCACTGATATTAATAAATGTTACATTTTTTTAGACTTTATTTATATTTACTAACAGAATATTGTACAATGAACATGTTTATTTGTTTAAATTTTCTTTTCAGAATGTTTTTATGCATTGTTTTGTCTAACATTTTTTGACTGCAAAGGAAAGTGATTTTGAATAACAGCCGAAAAGGAGGAATATTTTTTCACAGTGTGGTTTGCGTTTGTGGGAGTGTCAGAAGTTAGGACGTTGAGTTTCATTTCATTTTGAGCTTTCGACAGCCAGCAAAATGGCAGCATGCTGTGTGGATGAAAGCCGCAGAAAGGCAAAGGATGAAGAGCGGGGAGTATAGAATCGGGGGAAAATAGCTTGGCCATCTTAAGTGGGGGTCCTTCATCGCATAATCTCGGTCCCTGGGCCTTGGCATCATTTTGGCTATTTTTATCTGGTTTCTTTGGAACTCCAAGACCCGATAATAATAGTAATGATCAAGTGCTGCATACCTTTCGGCAGCCTGTGAAAACCGAATGGAAGGTACAGTTGCACAACTTACAGGAAAATGTGTATACCTTGCATATGGATCACAATGTTTTCATCCCTTCTGTTTTTGTATAATTAGGATTTCCTTTTTGTACGGACCTTAGCGTATTGTAAAGTATATAGAAAAACTCCCTAGAATATGCTATATACCTTTTATTGTAACAACTCGTTCAACGTTAAAGACAAAAAACTAAAAACGACAGGTGAAAAGTCAAACAAAACAAGCTTCCGCAAAGAAAACTTTAGAACACCATACCACAAACCTCCTTTGACCAACCCGCCTTTTCCAACCCTTTTCCACTGCTGTTTAGCATAAAATTTACTGCACCAAGAAGCACTTGAACGTTGGCCCGGCCCTTAAATCCTACTAATCAAATTTATTACCGATATACAGCCAGACCAACCGCAAGCTATGCGTCTCCTTCTCTCTCTATATAGCCCTCTGTTTCTCTTTCCCCTTTGAACTTAGAACCGTGTCTGGCCACTTCAAATGCCTTGGCAATATGCATACTAAATTTAATTAGAGGGACGGGTAAACATAAATTCATCCACAGGACAACGGAGTCCGGAATGACGGGACCTCAAAGGCGGCTCAGACCTTTTTTGCGGGAAATATGAAATGATTTTGAATGCCCTTTTTTTCATACATACAAAATACATATATTTTCACATTTTATGATTGAATACATTACATCAATTAAGTAAGGAAGCTCACTTCGGCCAGCCCTTTAAGTTAAACAACATAATGCAATTCAAAACCATACGAATTTTATACAGAAACCGTATATGAGTGTTTAAAAAATGTATAATAACTACAGAGCATATGATCAAAAACAACGAAGCTATAATTTTTTGTTCTTTTAATTTTTCTATCATTTTAATGGGAGCTTTAGGGTATTGTTGTCTGACCGTCTCTGCATTTTAAAAATAAGTCAAGTAAGTTTATTGAAAGTCAAGCAAGTGACATATGTAATTATTTTGTAATTTCATTAGTTAAAAAAAAATTATGTTAAATAAGTAATATATATATATGTGTTTATATAATAAGTACATCCCATTATTTTATTTATTTAGTCGTTTAGTATAAAATGCCCGAAAAGCAAAAATATTTCTGAAAACTAATTGCACCCCAAAAGACCAAAAACGGTGGTAAATTGTTGGCTAATTTTGATTATTTTACTGCACCTTTTAGAGTGTGAGGTGCTACGTTAATTGCCCTACAGGCCCACAACCGGTCTGGAACACACGCATAGACACGTACCCAACAACTTGTACTGTACCCAATTTAAATGGAGTTCAGTCCCAGTTTAGGGGATACTCTGACAGAACTTTTGCTCATTTTATGCTCTTTCCGGAGTTGCCATGAATGTGACATTAATGAGCTCTTAGTTTATCCCACAGGGAAATGGCTCGGGAGATCCTGGTCACACAAACTTTATGGCTATAATTCGTCCTTGAATTCAAAGAGGGAGTGGAAGTCGGGAGCAGAGCCTGAGTATGTTCATAATTAAATTGTTAGTTGGCTAAAGGATATGGTCCCAAAATTGTCTGTTCATTTGCATGTTATAAAAGGTCGTCCAAACTCCAGATATCAACACTTAGGTGGGTCTTAATGGGTGGGATTTAAAAATTGTAAGCAACCTCTGTTTACCACTATTTGGTGGTCAGTTAAAGTAAGTTTCTCATTAGTTTCAACAAAGACACTGGACAGGCTAGAAAATGTTTTTGATTTCCCTTAAAATAATTCCTGTTGCAAAACAGTTCAAAAATTAACTCTATAAGCTTAAAATTAATTTGGTTAAGATAATTGCTTCTACTTAAAGGTTAGAAGGGCGCAATTATTATTTGATTGCTTATTACATTATTACTCTATAATATAATGTAATATAATAATATAATCCAGGGGTGGTCAAAAGTATTTACACAAAACAAAAGTTAAATGTACTCATAATTTCACAAAAAATTTTCATTTTTAATAAGTACTGGATGGGTTAAGAAGTATTGTATCATTCAAACGGAATATAAAAAATGTACATGAAGTAAGTTTAGATTTTAAGTATATTTATACACGATACTCGTAGTGTAAAAGGGTATACTAGATTCGTCGGAAAGTATGTAACAGGCAGAAGGAAGCGTTTCCGACCCCATAAAGTTTATATAGTCTTGATCAGGATCACTAGCCGAGTCGATCTAGCCAAGTCCGTCTGCCCGGATGAACGCTGAGATCACGGAAACTATAAGAGCTAGGCTATTGAGATTTGGCGTGCAGATTCCTGAGCTTCTTACGCAGCACAAGTTTGTTTCAGCAGAGTGCCACGCCCACTCTAACGCCCATTAGCCGCCCAAAACTGTGGCTACAGTTTTGATGATAGAAAAAAAATTTTAACTGAAATGTATTGTTCTCATCAATACCTATCGATTGATAAAAAAAGTTTGCCACGCCCACTTTAAAGCTTACAAACCGCCCAAACCTGTGACGCCCACAATTTTCATGCTGGATAAAAAATTTTAGCTAAAATGTATTGGTCTCGTCAATACCTATCCATTGATTCAATCCAAAAATTTGCCACGCCCACTCTAACGCCCTTAACGCTTAAATCTGTCTACCGCCGGTTAGGTGGCGCATTTTAATCTCGCTTTGCTGCTTGCATATCTCCATTTCCCTCTGGTCCCTTTAGCTGAGTAACGGGTATCTGATAAGCCGAGGTACTCGACTATAGCGTTCTTCCTTGTTTACTTTTGGTTTGTGTAAGTACTTTTGGCCACCCCTGTATAGTAAAAATACCCTAATAGTTAACGCGGATTAAAGAAATCTTATTAATCAATTGTATTCATAATTTTTATACCCGTCACTCGTAGAGTAAAAGGGTGTACTAGATTCGTCGGAAAGTATGTAACAGGCAGAAGGAAGCGTTTCCGACCCCATAAAGTATATATATTCTTGATCAGGATCACTAGCCGAGTCGATCTAGCCATGTCCGTCTGTCTGTCTGTCCGTCCGGATGAACGCTGAGATCTCGGAAACTATAAGAGCTAGGCTATTAAGATTTGGCGTGAAGATTCCTGAGCTTCTTACGCAGCGCAAGTTTGTTTCAGTAGAGTGCCACGCCCACTCTAACGCCCACAAACCGCCCAAAACTGTGGCTCCTACAGTTTTGATGCTAGAATAAAAATTTTAACTGAAATGTAATGTTCTCATCAATACCTATCGATTGACCCAAAAAAAGTTTGCCACCCCCACCCTAACGCCCATAAACCGCACACAAACTTCAAAAAATTTAGATTCCGTAGCCTTATACGCAGCGCAAGTTTGTCACGCGAATATGCCACGCCCACTCTAACGCCCACAAACCGCG